TGGCTGCAATATAACAAAGAGTGAAAAATTTAAGGGGGTCTGAATACTTTCCGTACCCACTGTATATATTGTCTCAATTCTGCACATTTTCAGTTTTATGAAGAAGAATGATGAATATAATTTACCAGACAGAATAATCATGAAGTAGCTGCTGACCGAATCCACCCTAACCAACATTATTTCCACCCAGCTGCAATATTGCCTGCACATGGATATGCAGTTATTTAAACACCATCTGACATTATTGCCTGCAGAGAGAGAGAGATGTGTGTTCAACCCAACTTCATTATCAGCGCAGGGACGGGTGACTGTGGTACAGTTTTCGCTGTAGCGGCAAATTGGAGGCATTTCCATTTACTGGAAATATTACTGGGCTGGGATGTTTTAAGCCTTCAGGACTGGGAGTGATCACAGTTCTCCACACCCCGCCCCCATCTCTGTCTCTATGATATTTAAATTTGCTATGAATGGCATGCTGACATCAGTATCAAATTATTTTTCCACTGTCTGACTCAACCAGGTTACAGATAACATATGACATGCATTTGTGTATGTTCAAACAACTTCACTGGGATGGAGTGAGATTTGAATTAGGCTGGACATCAATGCTTATGTGTTGTTATGTGGTTCCTATGAGTTTTTTAGGCTGTTAGTATGTGTTGCCCAAAACCCCCTTAAAACCAGTCAATAGACCAGATTTACCTGGGGATGCATTTACTGTACAACGACGTAACACACTGCTTAACTACAATGGTATGATGCATCATTGGATAAATTAACTCGCTAGTGACAACTGTTTCCGTACTAACATGGGCTCACCTACCATCATTTGAACCATGTTGGCTGAACAATATAGGACTGTCATTAATAAAGCCATGTGTAGGATGTGGAATAATAACTTCTGCTAATTAATCGATTCAAGATCAAAATTCATGTCAGATTAATATAGTTTATTTACATGAACAACAGAAGGCCTTTAATGTTTTATGAACATGGCATCTGAGGACTTCTTCACTATTTTGATCTCCTTAGTTTTGATTATTCAATGCTGGATTCATTGCGGAAAAAGCCGAAACATCGAACTATGTTAGTAATGAAGAAACTTTTCAACCATAACTGGCTATCAATGATTTTGGGAAACACACCCAGGTTAGGAGACCAACTAAGAGTTTACAGGACACCATTTTCAACTAAAAAATGGAAAAAATGTTGTTTAAAATGGCATTTTGGGGACTGAAAATGCGAACTTTTTAAAATGGGTTTATCTTGCAAACGATGCTGTTATCGTCTCCGTGTATCGTCTCCATAATTATTAACACTAGAGGTGTTTCGTGTCATTCGCATAGTTTTAAAATGCGAATGAAATGAAACGTTCAAAATAAAATATAAATTTATCCATTTCTGGTAATCCCCGGTTGCTATGGTCACGCCGGTTTGTTTACGCATTAAACTCGTGACAATGAGCAAAGGATGTTGTTCCCTCAACATAGGATCTCAAGGCCACGACTTTACATTGCATGGCCACGACATAAGGATTTCGTTACCTCGACAAAATGATCTTGTGGCAATGTCATTTTATCACATTCCCATGAGTTAATATGATGTGGCCATGACAAAACTAAGTGAACCGAACATGTCCCCTCCCAGTCACCGTACTGTGTAAACTACAAAAAGCACAAATTTGTGAAAACAGTGAAGCATATTATGTGTTTAGTCTATAGGAATGCGTATGTGCGCAGTTTCTTTACAAAGTGACACCGCCGACTACTGGCCTGGCTTGCATAATACAGCGTTTTAATCATTTTTGTGGATTTGTTTGAATGGGGATTGTCTTGACAATGTTGTCATCTGTACATGAAACCTTTCAAGAAAGAAAAAAAAAAACATTTCCATTTAGTCGTCGTGTAAACACCCTAAGACTAGCAAACAATCGTAGGCTTGTAAGTTTATGGGATTTGTTTTAGTGATAGGACAATATTTTGGCCAGGCTGATGAACTGTCCAATCATTTGACTTTTTATTTTAATTTTCTGTCCCTTTGGCCATGAATTCTGAGTACATATTGTGTGAAATTAATGTTCATTTAATTTTGAGTGTGTGTATGTCTCAGTTGCTATTTTTAAATTGCATTATGCAGTGCATATCAAAATAATATCATACATATTGAGCTGGTTATGTGATGCACTATGGTAAAAGTGTATTGAGGTCATAACACAGTACTGTGCAAAGAACCATGCAGAAATAAGTCTTTATTAATCAATAATTGGTCCTTGTAATCATAATTTGTGCTAAAAGCAATAAAAGGTGTTTGAATCAAATGTGTAGGTAAAGTTTTGGAGTTTTGCAAAAATATAGGCAGAGGCAGTCTTGCAAATTTAGGTTATCAGCAATTGAATAACCAATACTGCTCCACTGACCACATGATTTTTCCACTTGTTTTATTTGCTGGCAAGTGCACACTTCTCTGCACAGTCTGAGCTATCATTCATCATTCACACACAGTGCTGGATAGATTACATGCAAATGTAATACTCAGCCGTAAGTAGGAGCAATACTGTCGATTGCTAAAATGATAGAACACAGAACAGCACTTCACGATCAGCCAGGATTTTATGCAACATCAGTGAATCTTTCTATGGTTTTACAAACTCTTTGCCACCTCCTTCAACATTATTTATATTAGTAGACGAAACAGTATTGCAACACTCCAGAATCTTTCTTCATGTCCCTTTCTTCATGTAAACAGTAGATTATTTCCCAAGTTGAAATTTTATAAAGAAAGAGTGTTGTACAATTATAAATAAAACACAATTTTACAATATCCTCTGTGTTCTTATCCTCTCAATTTCCAAAACACAAAGCCAAACATTAGCCAGTGAAGAACTGTGTCCCATTTTAAGAGAAGACCCCAGTAACCACCATGTGTGTCACTACCTTTTACAGTCCCTCGTTAGATTAAATAAGACATTTTTCTAAAATATTCACATGGCGATACAGATAACTGCCACTAACCAGATGTTACATATTAAGGCAGAGAGGAACCTGATGTTTCTTGTCGATATGCCAACCACATTTGAGATGGTCTGATAATACTATCGTGTTCATTTTGGCGAGGGGCTGCAAAGAAACAGTGCCCTCTATTCATTGGAAATCCTCTTGACAGAGCTACAAGTGACCTGAAAATAGATTTTCTGATTAAGCTTTAATGAGCTCAGAAGCTCTGGATCACTTTGAAAGTGACTCCTGGAGGGAGGAGAAGAAACGGCTCTCAGCACAAACCATGGAAAGGTTTAGAGGTATCACACGTGTGACACTGCTCTTGTTGAAAACCAACACAACGGCAGATTAATATTGTAAAGTAACATCGCTCCATTGGGGCGCAGTCATATTAGACAAGGATATTTTTATATTAGACAAATAGATACATATTGCCAATGTAAACCTTTGAATCCGTCTACTTTTCCAGATTTATAAATATCAAATGCATAGTGCTGGGGTGCGTATGTTTATTTACGTCTTAAGCCTAAAGTATACTTCACTTTTGACAGAAATGCTTAGTGTATGCATACAGCCAAACACATTACTTTTGAAGTATACTTCATTTGATTGCCAAAATTGTCCAAAAACCCAGAAACGGCTTAGCATTTTTGAACTTCCAGTTCCATTGTCCTGAAGCCTGTGGGCTTTTTTTTTTTTTTTTTGAAAGGGTTATTGGTTAAAAGCCTGACATAAGATCTGTAGTTAACACAAGCTAGTAATATTTCCATGTTTTATCCAATGAAATTAAATACGTCAGTAGTATTTCACTTGTGATTTTTTTAAAGGGGTCATATGATGCGATTTCAAGTTTTCCAAAACTAAGCGTTTGAGAGAGGCGGGGCATAGAGGACCTACAATAATGTACAGTATTTGAAAAATAATGTGTTTTTTGAACATTAAAGCATGTCAACATATTCTGTTACACCAAATACACAAAATAATGATCTTTAAAAAAGCATCATATGACCCCTTTAAAGCTTTTATGTGTCTGTATAAAGGCAGGTGGATAAATGGGACTACAGCGGTTGTCTGGGACATGAACAGGCATCACTCCAAACAGGTAAACTCACTCACTAGTCACTTTCACAGCCTTGTTGATTATAATCATGCTTTTGCAAACTATTCTCAAACTTTACAACTTGTAGATTTTAAACAAAACCAAAAGAGCTGTGGGATGCTTAGTGATGGTGACGTTGATATCATGTTTGGTGTAAGTTCGTTTACAGCTACATTTTAGCAACCAGCAGCAATAGGCCAGCATCATGATGGCAACATTTGCACAGGCAAGACCCACTGTTGTTTTCTTCAGAAAATGTAAAAATCTAGTTTTAGCCACTAGTAGCACAAAAATACACATAGGCATTTTAAAATCACACATTTTTAATCTTAATATAAAATAAAAATGTATTATACTGAATCCTCTTTAGTAATAGTAAGCAGATTCTGTCATTATAAAGATGTGAGCTTTCAAACATTATCACAGTATATGTCTACACACTGGAATCTAAAAACCTGCCATGCACCATGTGCCTGTCGGCTGATAAAGTGTTAGTAATCCAGCGTGACCATTAATTGAAATGATTTATGACAGCTCTTCAGAGGTTTTGCCCTGTTGCCACCATCCTCTTTGTATAATAATATACTGCAGTGGTTCTGCTTCACTTCAGGATTAAGATTTACACTAAGCATCAAGTGGTAACCCATCAGTACCAAAACCCATCAGTTCTTCCAAAACTGTATGGCCTGTAACGAACACAAAATCATATTTTGAAGAATATTGGTAACCAAACAGTTGCTGATAGCCAGTGATGTCCATTGATCAAAAAAAAAAAAAAAAGGACTATGGAACTCAATGGCTACCAGCAATTGTTTGGTTACCAACATTCTTCAAAATATCTTCTTTTGTGTTCAACAGAAGAAATACATTTATACAGGTTTGGAACAACTTAAAGTAAATAATGACAAAATTGTATTTTTGGGTAAACTATCCCTTTAATATTACCATGAGTTAGATAGGCCGACCATTATGTCAAATTATGAACAAGGCATATAAGATGAATAGGAAAAAATACCATTTTGGTTTCACGGTCTTGACATCCAAGAATTTATAACATGAAACAAACTGTAGTCGACAAAAAACATGCTTATCCCTGCCGCAAATGAACCTGTATTTAATAGTGAGGTAGGGATGCTCATTTTAGTTAATTTTCCCGACCGACAACCGCTGCTCGTTATCAGAACATTAACCGTTAACTAATAAGATTTGAATATTAAATTAGTATTAAATAAATAATAGAATGGACTGTTTCTGAACTTCTGAGAACAAAGAAAAACAGAATAAAATAATATAAA